CCAGAGGAAATATGATATACAGATACTGCTCAGACACGTGAGGACCTGGCGAGTGCTGGGATTTGCGATAACGCTGTGACCTTGCCTCACTGATTTGCTGGGTTTCTATTCCCCAGAGTTCAGGCTGCCTCAAAGAGCTTGCATTACAGAGCTACTCGTGGCCCGCATGTTGCCAGGTGCGTAAGTAGAATTAATTTCCTTTATCTGGTTTCCTGCCTCAGAGAAAAAGGAAATTTATACAAAATGTTTGGTTGCAGGGGGCCAATATACAAAGGTTGTGTACTGATAACTGAGGTTGATACGTGGTGCATTTTAGGTGTTCTCCCCTCACACTTTTATTCTAAAATCAATTGCTTGGAAAAAAAAAAAAAAAAAAGCAAGCTGTGTGCCCAGCCAATGTTGGCTTGCATTTGGGTTTCTGCCACGAGAGGTAAGGGGGATAAGAGGGGAACCCCTTATTCTTATGCTGTTGCTGGTGCACCTGCTCCTTGCTCATCGCTTTGCTCCCTGGTTTGTGGCTGTGGCACACATGCTCCTGTCCCTGAAAACAGGTGGGGAGAGGTGGGAGCTGGGGCAAGCTCTGCCTCCAGTGTCGTCATGTCCCCCCACACACATTTCAGAGGTGCCCTGGCCACTGTGCTGCATGGCAGGGGTGCCCCTTTCCCTGGCTGCAGCAGCACCTTGGCCTTTCCCCACCATGCTCAAAGTGTCCTTCTGGTTTTGTTTTCTTTACTTATTTTTGGCCCTGAGGTTTGCTTCCAGAATAGCTCCAGGGCGTGGAAATAGGACGGTGCAGCCCCGACCACAGCCTCGGCCCCGCGGTGGACCCAGGCAGGACAAGGAGCACGCTGCTCTGCTCATTTACCACCCTGAAAAAATAATAATTAAATTTGGACATTGGCACAGGCTGACACAGCTCCTGACAGGGACGCTCTGACCATGAGGTCTCCACGGGATCGGGCAGTTACATCAAAACCATATGCAGCACCCTTGCCAGGCCATGCCGGGTGCAAGCCCACCCGGTTGCAGCACAGAGCTGGTGCCAGCGGCTGGTGCAAAGCCCACCAGGGTTGGGTGGTGGGACCAACAGTGGGGCTGGGGCTCAGCAGCATCTGCCTGGGTGGGGGGGCTGGTCATCGTCTGCTGTGTGAGGGCAGCCATGTGCCCACGCAGGGCCTGGGGAGCGGGCTTGCTCGCCAAAGCGTGTAATGAGCAACACAGTAGCCTACTTGTACGTGTTAAAAAAAACTGATGAGAGCGCAGGAGTGAAACCATTGCATTTGCACGCGTGGGCCGCATGCTGCACGCCTGCCTCGTCATCTCAACGTACTCCCAAAAAATGGGGTTTTGCTAATGTCACCTGTTGGCATGTCGCCTGGAGGCAGGTGAGCTGTTCCGTGTTTCGTTTCCAGCTGTTTATCTACAAAGGTGAGATTACTCTCGTGAAGCTGTCGGATCCTGCGTTTGCTTTCAATAGCGGATACCAAATGCTGCTTTTGGACAAACAGGTGACCTGTCCAAGCCCTGATGCCTTGGAGAGCCAGAGTTCTTGCAAAAGCATTAAGAGACCAATGCTCCAACCCTGAGATGTGATGCTTTTTCAAATTTATTTTTTATTATTAATACTATTTTAAATGGAAACATCTTGAATGGATTTGGCAGACTTCCCTGCTGGTCTCCCTGCAGGGTGCCGTGAGGCTGCTGCTGCCAGTGGCCTGCCCAGGCAGCACCCGCTCCTGGCCCAGGAGCTAAACATAGGTGCTGGCCACGCACGGCACTTTGGCACACGTTAATTATCCCGGTGCTTTTTAGGGATCTTGGGTGAAATGCACGTTTTTAGACAGTTTTCTTTTTTTAAGCAGCCTGGAGCAGCAGCCCTTTAATTACATTAAAAATCACCTCCCACCAGCACTCTCTGTTCCCTAGCCCTGATGAAATTTAAGCTCAAAGCTGGGCACATGCTCGCTGCTCTCCTGTGCTGGGCAGCCCACGGTGGCGGGGGGCAGTGGGAAGCAGGGCTGACCCTGTCCCATGCCCCCCACATCACCTCCCAGCAGGGCAGCCCCCCCAGCTGCCCCAGACCCATGGGGCTGAGGGGGCGCCAGGTCCCTCACGATGCCAGTGTCTTTACCAGAGGCTGCTGCGTTGGCATCGGAAAGCTGCATGGCTGCTTTTTTTTTTTTTTTTTTTTTTTGTGTGGGGTTTTCTGGGCCTGGGTTTTTTTTTTTTTTTTTTTTAAATGTGTGTGGGTTTTCCTGGCCTGAGGCGCCAGCTGGAAGCCACGGCCAGCTCCAGGCCTCCCTTGTAATTACGGCTCCTCAGGGTGACACAAGGGGCTTTGAAGCCCATGGGGCAGGCGCAGCTGCGCCCTGCAGCCCCGGGGTTTGCATGGCAGGCACATGGCCCAGCTTGCTGCCAGGGCTGCCGGAGCCCGGGGGGCTGCAAGGGACCTCTCCCTCCCCAAAAGGTGTGATGGGCACGGTGTTTTGTCAGCACTGAGCGAGTTCCCATGATGTACCTGTTGATGTGGTGATGAGCAAGACAACAAAATAACAACAAAAAAAGCTTTGTCTTTCTGTCCCTAACCTGGGAATTTGGTTAATTGAAAACCTTTTGCTTCCCCATCAAATTCAGCCTCAAACTGGGCTCCCTGGATGTGAGTGAGGCAAGCGCAGCCCCCAGAGCAGAAACACGAGGGTTCAGGTCTTCCACTGCAAAGCAATTTTTTTTTTTTTTTTTCTTTTTTTCTGCCCTACATTCCCACAGCTTTATCACTGGCTAACCTGCACATCACAGACCTGCTTGAAGGCATGCATTTTCCAGCCCCGCCGTTCCCTCTCTGAGGGTTGTAGGGCTAAAGGAATCGGGTGGGATTTGCAATTCTCCTTGCCACTGTGGAAAGCAAAGCTGCATTCGGCGAGGAGTTGCACACCTGAGCTGCTGCAGCCTGGGCACGTGCAGGAGCGGCAAGGGGCCTTTGCCCATGAGCGCAAGAAAAATCTGGGAAGGAGGGAGCAGAGGCGCACTGGGGAGCTGGGCAGCTGAGATCCCAGCAGGAAACGATAAGCATAGGGGAAGGAGAAAGGATGTCCCTGGTGCAGGGGGCCAGCCACAGCACCCCTGTGCCCCCAGCCTCTGCCATCAGGCGCAGGGCAGGAGGGGTGGGCTCCAGCCACTGGCCCTATGCTGCCACCGAGGTCCCCACTGAGCTTTGGGTGGCCATGAGGGTGGGTTTTCTCCTTTTTTTTTTTTTTTTTTTTTTCTTTCTCCCAGGGAATTATTCTGCTTTGCTCGTAATGTCTACAGAGCTGCCAGATTTCAGCTGGGGAATACCTGATTTTGGAGATTGGGGGGCCAGGCTGGCCACTGCATGGGTCTGTGTGATTCGGAGGGCATGAGAAATGAAGCGGATGTGCGTTTTGTAGCACCACCGTGGCAGAAATGGCTCTCAAAGGGGGACTGGTGATACCTGTATTTGAGTCCCCTTTCCTTTCCTGCCCTTCCCAAGGCCTGTTTCACCTCTGCAGGCAGCCTGGAGAGGGACTTGTTTGGATTTAGTCTTTTTTTGTCTGACAATAGCTATGCCCAAGTGACCATGCAGACGGGCCTTTGAGGTTGGTCTTTTTTGTCGTCTTGAAAAAACAGTGACAGAATTTCCCAAAAAGGGAGGTAGGCACCCCCCAAGAACAGATTTCCCAATATTTATTTTAATTTAAACCTGGACTGTTATTATACCCTCCGGCCTCCTGGCCGTTCCTCTGAGGCCATACCCTCAATTAAGCGGCGTGGTGCAAACCTCCCTGGGTTTGGCAGCGGTGTGGGGCGCTATGTTTGTGCACCAAATCTGCTGGCGTTGAAGTTTGGGGGTTTTCTGGCACACGCTGTCGAGCTGGCGTCACTCCGGGCAGGGCGGCGTCTGACTTGGGGGGTGGGGGGGAGGCAAGAATAGACCTTATATCCCGGCGGGAGGAAATCTGTGCCGGCCGACTCCGTGGGTAGCCATCGGTGCTGTGGCGCGGTAAGCTTGCTGCTGCTTTTCCCAGCTGGGTTGTGCGGTGCTGCCTGCTTTTTGGGGGGGATGGGGAGCTCAGCTGGCTGGCGGGGCTGGATGCTGCTTTTAGCCCTTTCCCGGCTCTGTGGCTTCACGAAGCGCTTGGGTGGAGGGCACGGGCATCCAGAGCCTCGCTGCATGGCCAGGGAAGCTAGCTTTGGACAGTTGTTTTCCAGCCAGAGTTAAACGAAGATGGGGAAACTTCAAATGCTGATAAATATAAACAACTCCCCCAAAACTTCAGCACAGCTGATGGTGGGTTTAGCCAGAGGAAGGGTAGGAAAAAGGAAGGTCAGTGGGCCTCACTGAGCCGCGGGGGGATGCCAGGAGCATCCCTCCCTGGGGGGAGGCTGGGGCACTACGGGAAGGGTTGGATGTGCTCCTTGCTGGGGCCGGGATGGAGGAGGGCAGGCCAGGATTTGGTGCTTAGGGGGTGCAGCTTGGACCTGCCCAGAGCCAAGCCTCGTCCCCAGACATGCCTACGGGGTGCTCCTTGCATCGATGCCTTGCCACTGCTATTTTTGTCAATGGCAGACTGTAGAAGCCAATTATATTCATTTATTTGTTTGCTTATTTATTTTTCCTCAATGAGGTTAAACTCCCTGAGGTGTAATCCCTGGGGGCGTTGCTCCCTGGGCAGAGCCCGAGCGGGCTGCAGGGCTGCGGGAGGGCAGCCGCAGTGGGCAGCGCTCCTGCCGGCCGCTCCCACCGCATCCCTGGCAGGCGTTGGCTTTCCCTGCTCGCTGGCAGGCGATGGGGAAGCGGGAGCGAACAGTCCTGCTCAGGGAAAGCGGTGCGTGACCCCATGGAAAAGTGGCTGGAGATCAGCCTTTCTTCTCCCCGCTCACCCCTGTGGACACAAACACCCATATGGTTTGGGGTGGTGGCGGTGCTTCCTAGCTGAAAAGCGAGCCCTCGCTGTGTTTCGCTGTTCCTAGACAAAGCAGCCATGAGGACAGCCCTGGTCTTCGCCTGCCTGGTGGGGATGGCGTGCGCCTTCTCGGTGAGTGCCGGGCAGTTGGGGGACCCCCCGGCTTCACCGGGGCTGGTGTGGGGTGTGTGCCAACCCAGCCTTTCCCCCAGGTCAAGAGCTGGCTGCGGCGAGCCAAGTCGGATGACTCAGAAGAAAATGCGGTAGGGGGTCCCCCCACCCTGCGTGCCTAGCGCCATGCGGCGCTGGCCTTGAGGACGAGGACGTTTCGGCCACTCCTGTACCCAAGCCCCCAGACTGACAGGATTTACCCCCTTCTTTTCCTGGTAGGTGTTCAAGAACAGGCACCGGTATTACCTGTACAGATATGCCTATGTGCATCCCCCGCAGCGACGGTACCAGGTGGGTGTTTTGGAGGGGTTGCTTATGCTTCGCCGTCCAACAAATGCAGAGATATCTGCCCAAATGAGATGGGGGCATGGTCTCCGCCTTGTCTGCCACTAGCCTGCAGGGCTGGGCTGAGGCTGTCACGCTCGTGACACCAATGGAGACCCGCCAGCCCTGCTACGGCTTGGTTTTCCCTCTCCTTAGGGCAGTGACTCATCAGAGGAAGAGGGGGACGGCTCGGAGGAGGAGGAGGAAGGGGGGGTGAGTACAGCAAACCAGCAGCCCACAAAAAAAATACGGGAATTTGGGAACTTTCTTTGGTTTTATAGTCTTTGCTCATCAGCATTTGTGGCCACTGACCGCCCACAGCCTTGTACTCTGGATGCGACTGGATTTTCTACTCTGGGCTTTGTTTTATTATTTTTTGTATATTTTTTCCTTTTTCTTCTTTTTTTTTTTTTTTTTTTTTTAAAGAGGTTGGGCGGGGGATGCACCTAACAACCCTGAGACAAACTTTCTGGATTTCCATTTTCAGTGGCTCAGAAAGGAGCAGGACGGGCCAAAGGGCAGAAGCAGGGAGGCTCACCTGCAAGGCAAAAGGCGCTGTTAGGGCCTCCTCTTACCTGCCCCTTCAGTGCTGATAAAACTGCTATGGAAAATATAGTTAGGCTCCGCACGCCTGTGGAGGGATGCAGGCTGATGCTATACTGGGAAATGCACATTTGTACCAGCCCAGATGGTAACACTGCTTCTGTCCGCTGGGTCAATATGAGCTCAGGCACCGCTGCATTTGCGAGAGTCACCCAGGTCCAAAATTAAATGCCAGGGGTTACAAAGGTCTTTTGTGCCTCACCAGGCTGCAAGTGCTCAAAAATAATCCAGCAGTCTCAGGCACACGGGTGCTCTGAGACAGGGATCCAGCATGCTTGGAAACCTGTGTGTTAGGTCTAATCACGTCTTGTGTTTTTGTTTTTTTTCATTTAATTATTTGAATGCTAATTTCAGGGGTCTTTTTAACAGGAGTGTAAGCCTGGGCATATGGTCTTAAAACCCCCCTTGGAGGCCCACTTGGGGCTGGGGTGCTCTGCCAGCCCCAGCACCTCCCTGCAATTTGCCCCTTTCTGCCTGTTGCTCTCCGCTACCACTGCGATCACTAGGAATAACTTTGAGCAGTGGGATGAGAGATCCAAAGGGGGAATTTCATTCCCCAGGAAGAAATTAAGTGAAATGCAGGAAGCAGCTGCTGTTCGGGGCTGCCCCTTTCGTTTCAAGGGCACCGGAGCAGTGGCTGTTCCCAGGCAGGGATGCTGTGTGCCTTCACTGGCAGGGGGTGGTCAGCAAGATAAATCGTGATGAAAGGCCCCAAGGTCGGTTATAGGCATGCAAGAGCACCGTTATATTGGCTGCTAGATGGGGGCATCGCTCCTGTCAGCTCAGACAGCTGCACCGTGCAATTTGGTGGCTCCTCCAAGTGGAGAGGAAAACAGCCTGGGTTTTCTCTGGCATGCGATGCACCCATATTTTAAGTGTCTGAGTTGGCCCAAAACGTCAGGGTGAGCATCCTTGGTCTTGGCATCCAAGCAGCGGGGATTGCCCAGGGCAGGGATGTCGGTGGCCCCGCGTGTTCCCTGACATGGCTGGGTTCATTTGCCAGCAGCAAGGTGCTCCTCCTCCCAGCCTGGGGACTGGGTAAGCTGCCACACCAGTTCCTCGGTGGTTGGTCTCGGCTCCGCTCGTGGGTTATTGCCTTTTTTAGCTGCGAGGACTGCCATGCACCCCGCCGAGAGACCCGTTCTGCTGCCTGGTCTCTGGGACCAAGTGGTGCTGATGGCTTATTGCTGGTGGGGTTCGGGCTCACGCCTGGTGTTGAGCTGTCACGCTCTTGCCAGCTATGTACACCTGGTGTGTGGTGTGTCCACATGTAGTGTGCCCGTGGCTGGCTTTGTTTATTGGAAACTGGGAAAGGAACTTCACAAGCAAACTTTTAGATGCTTTGTAAAGCAAAATGCATAGCTAGAATGGGAACACCCGACTCCAGCCACCACCACTTAATTGCATGGCTCAGGCTGCCCTGCTGCAGCTTCTCAATTTCAGCCTGGGGCGAGACCCGTGGGAAAGCAGGAAATGCAGAGCAGTGCCCAAATGCCGTGTGGGGATGCTGCATGCCCCCTCACTGCTGGGAGGGCTGCGGTCTGCTCCCGCTGCTGACCACCTGCCCTGCCCCATCCTCTCCCTCCCTGTCCCTGCAGGAGCCATCCCATGCTGGCACCCAGGCAGCTGGCTACCCCGCCGGCGCAGCCC